CTTTATTGTATTTTATTTTACTTTTTTTTTTTGTTATCTTTAGGATTTTCTTGCACTTGAAAATTTGAGTGAACTTCATCTAAACAAATTACACAAATATAGTAGGTTTTACAATTTACTTCTCTCTTTTATATTTACTTATCAACATTTCAATGAGTTACTATATGGTTGGTTAGTCCCAAAGACTAGCGATACTTAGTCCCAAAGACTAATTTATGGACAAAACATTAATGGAAGTCTAAAAATTGCCTAAAAACTTAAGAGGGGCTAAATTCAAATTCTTTAAGAATTGAGGGAAAAAACTTATTTAATCCTTTATATATATATATATATATATATATATATATTTTTAATGTTCACTTATATATAATTATAAAAATGTAATTAGATATGAATTTAGAAACAAAATTTCACTAAAGATATACATTTTATAACATTAAACAAATAATATAACTTTTAATAAATGTTAAAAAGATAATCACATTCTTTAACTTAATATATTGGTATGTTATTGTTTATAAAAAAAAAAAATCTTGCTCTTCTTTATTAGTATGCTAATTTTTATCATTAATTTAGCACGTGCATTATATAAATTTGTATATATAAAAAAATATGTGACAAGATCTGTATTTACTTTGATGATATTAAATTAAGTGAGATTAAAATGAACTCTTTAACGTAACATGAAAGATTAATATAATACTTATATCTTTTAGTAAAAAAAATGTGTAATTTACTTTAAAAAAGTATTATAACAGTACGCTTAAATACTATTTCATGTAGCCATTTTTTTTATATAAATTAAATGATTTTATAAGTTGATTAGAATATTTTATTAATCAGGTTCTAAAACCACAATGAATCATATTTACACACTTTAAGAATATATATTCGTATAATAAAAAATATCTTATGAGTACCTGCATAGATATAACATGGTTGAGAGACAATGATCTAATTTTCAAGTCCATATATACAAAAGAAGATCATCGATTAGAAAAGTTATCTCGTCAAAAAAAAAAAATCTCAATATTTTTAAAAAGTTAATCATTTTAGTTTAAAAAAAAGAGTAAAATGTTGAGAGGTATACTGTAGGTGGTTCCTAACGTCTTATACAGACATGAAAAAATCCCTGCTAGACAGACATACTAGTCCCTTTCTTTTTCTTGACTTAGCTTTACCACTTTAAGATTAGTTTATTTTTTACAAGATACGCAAAGCATCTAACCCTAAACATGCAAATACCTGCCTTCTTCAATTTGTCATCGTGGCATGTGTTAAACTGTCTTTGTAACTTAAAAGGTTAAGAATATGCTTGGGACAGATTTCCAACGATAGACAAAACTATATAATCTTAATAATATATGGCAAGGGCAATTGATATTTATACTTAGTAATTTCCAATGTACATGACATGTTAAATAAGATATTTTCTAGTTTATTTAATTAATTAAAATTGATTTGATCAAATTAAGAAATTTGATAAACAAAGATACTTCAGTGACATATGATGATTGATATATATGTATGTATATTATATGACTATAATCGTGTAAATAATTAAGAGAAAAATAATTATTAATTTATAACTAGGTTTTATAAATTTGAATTAGATTTATAATATGCTTTTTAAAAATTTATATATAAATAAAAAATAATTATTAATTTATCACCATATATATTAATTTTGTCAGGTTGAATTATGTTTATAATCTATTTACTTAAGAATTATTTATTTATTTATTTATTATCTTTACAATTTTAATGTATTTTCTTTTGATTACATCTTTAATTTCTCAATCATTTTATATTTTTTTCCTCAAATACTTTTAGTTTTAAAAACTAACTTATAAAGTAATTTTAAATTAACTATCAGATTTTTTTCTTCTAAAAATAAACTCCTCAAATAAGTATTAAATATTAATCACTCACTTTAGTATTTGAATTAAAAAAATGTTGTTATATTAGTTCTTAAAATTAAGAAAAATAAAATAAAATTTTGAAAATACAAATTCACAATTATATTAGTTTGAAGTTAAAACAAGTGCAATTAAATTGATGGTATTGACATATATTTAATGATTAAAATAATAATAAATAGTAACGTTATTAACTCAAATAATTATCAGATAATTAAAGTTTAATTTTTGTCTTAAATATAGAGTGGACTATAAAAGTACCACCGGGTGGAATTGAGCGTTTAAACTTTATCTTTTCTGAATGCAGATGGTAATACACAGTGACTGATCATGAGACACGATCGACTCTCATCTTTGATATGTTTGTGATAATTGATAAGCATGTATATGTAGCTGCTTTGTCGTTTCTTTTGATTATTTAGCAGACTTTTTGCTTCTTATTAACATTATTTTGTTTGAATTTATTGAATTTCTTTGTTTAAGTTATAGATCAATGGATTAATAATTACTCCAAAGAAGAGATCGTTGTAAGTGAAACTAGCTACAATAATTTATTATTTATTGATATAATATACAAGATAAAGGAAATATTGAAAGTAGTATAGTTTTTTCTTCGTATGATTTGATATGTTTTTAATTGAATATTATTTGGAAACTCTCAACTGTTTACATCGATCATTCGCGGTTGGTACAAAGAATGCATTAACAAATTTTATGAAGTGTCGTAAGGTAATTTTTTCCCTATATTTTAAATAGAATTTAATTAGAATACATTGAAAATATTTTTTTTTATTATGTGTTCTTATTTCTTTGATAAATGTATCAAATCATACAAGTACTTCAATGATAAGTATAGACATTGTCTCTCAAAAAATTTACTTGGGGTTAATAACTAATTATATATACTAAATTAAACTATTGAGAATGAAAATTTTAATTGATTATAAAAATTAAGAAAGAGTATAAACAAAGATAAATATAAAAAATCTTTTTAGTATTTTTACAAACACTTATATGCAAAATTTGGTTTTAACACAATGAAATATATTGGAGTTAAACTTCACCAAGTCATCTTCTCATACTTCCAAACAAGTTTTAATCTAGTTATAATCCAAAAATAACAATCAAACTCACAAATATATTGAAACCTTAATTCATTATAAGTTGGATTCTAAGTTCCTTGATTAAGTTATTAATTCCTCGCATAACTTAATCAAGAACTCAACTTTAAGAATAAGAGTTTATGAATAATTAATAGCATTTACTATATTTATAGAAATAAACATCATTAACTACTTTACTTCAATTTAAAGGTTCATAATCATTTTTCAATCACGTTAAACTCACAAAAATTAAGTTAAGGGAGATTAAACCATAATAAACATTAAGTAAAGAAAATAAAGCAATAATACTGAATAACAACTGTATAAGAAAATGAACTATAATAAACATTAATAACTTAGAATTTTAAATTTCTATAATTATTTTTTTACATAATTCAATTTAATCACTTTTAATTTTCCTATTTAATATCCTACATTAAAATAACTATAAATGTAAGTTTCGGTTGATTGATAATCTGAACGTTAATTTGTCCTCTTTACTATTATGTCAATTGATATATTTATCAAACAATGTACTAATAACATTGTTAATTTGTAATAATTATTTTAAATTTATATATAGAATAAATTTAATTATTTGCTAATATCAGGAACTTCGTAGTAATAGTACTTTAGAATTAAAGTGTTAATTTTTGTGTAAGTGATTATAAAACCCTTTCACCTATAAAGGTGAGAATATATAAAACATTTATGTGATATAAAATAGCTAATTTCTTTTATAGTAATTGGTTATAAAATGAAAACATTTTTTTAAAGACGTTGAATAATAACTAAATATATTTATATATAATTTTTTTTTGAAAGTCTTATTGCTGAGAATCTCAATTTTCGAAGATGAAACAGACAGTGAGCTTATACTTTGTTTGCATCATCAATGATTTTTTTATTTATAATTTTTTTAATAAGCAAATAGAATACAACAGCGCCAGAATACAATAGAATGCATCAATAATTCATATCTTGAAAATAAAAATTCGTTGTTTGCAAACACAAGTTTACGTGGGACCAAGGGCGGCTAACCCTGCAACAGACGAATAATCTTTGAAGGCAAGCTTGTAAGGGCAAGAAATGTAAATTACATAACACGACTTCACAGCCATTACTCCACGTACTAAGATCCGCTTTAATGGGCTGAAACCTTTGCTTGCGGTCTTCAAATTGCGAAATGAAGTTAGGAAACTTCAAATTTGGAGTGTTATGTTGTTCTTATTATTATTATTATTATTATTATTATTATTATTATTACATATATGCCTGCTTCTTTTCTGGTGGCATGGGTAAAGAAATAAAGAATGGCTTGAAAACCATCAATTAATATTAATTCAATTGATGATTGGGTGTTTAGATAAGATAACACTTGCTTAAAAGAATACTATTGATTTCTTACCATGATTTGCGGGAAAATAAATAATACTCCATTTAATAAGAATGATGTATACGACAAACAACATTTATTTCAATAGCATCATTATCATTCTCACTTTTATTTTAAAGATTTGACTGATTTGATTACATGGATATTATTACTAATGGGAGAACGTTCTCTACTCATCTTTTATAACTTTTTTAAATTTTATCATCTAACACAGTTAAATAATTGTTGATATAATACATTAATTAATTATTGATATATTATGTTATGCATGTTATTTTTGTGTATATCATTCGATTAATTTATATTAGTGATCAACGTGTGATATAAACAGCAACATAATTATATATGTTAACAGTTATTTAATGAAGTGGTAAAATATAAAAATTTTAAAAATTAGGTGTATTGTGTTTAATTTTAAAAATAGAATAGTTAAATGCATAACACTATGAAAGAAAGTGCGATTAAACCAATTTCATCTCAAAAGCCAATAGAAAAGTTGGTTATATATATTCCTTGTAAACATATATAACCTTATTATATACAGTTGAAACTAGTTTATTAATATTTTTATGTTATATATGGTTGGTTAGAACTTACAAGTTACAACAAATTAAATCTCCATAAGCCTAAGCCCACGATTCGATATTCAATTTTCGCAAGTCAGAGCACCGGCCATTTAATTATTTAGGATTATATAAGGTCAAGTTCTCTCTGGTTTCATATATAAAACATGTGATGGCATCGTTGTTCAGAAAGTGTGTCGGTACGAAGAAGAAGAAGAAGATGGACAGCAACAACATAGCCAAAAGATGGCGAGAACTGAGCGGCGAAAAACACTGGAAGGGTCTCATAGACCCTCTGGACATGGATCTTCGCCGCTACATCATACACTACGGTGAAATGGCTCAAGCGGCATACGATGCTTTCAACACGGAGAAAGCATCCAAGTACGCTGGAAGCAGCAGATACGCGAGGAAGGATTTCTTCTCCAAAGTTGGTTTGGTGAATGGCAACCCCTTCACGTATTCCGTCACCAAGTTTCTGTACGCAACGTCGGAAATGGACGTCCCTGAAGCCTTCATCATAAAGTCGCTTTCGAGGGAGGCTTGGAGCAGGGAATCGAATTGGATAGGGTATGTTGCGGTGGCCACGGATGAAGGGAAAGCTGCGTTGGGGAGAAGGGACATTGTGATTGCGTGGAGAGGGACAGTGCAGACCTTGGAATGGGTTAATGATCTTCAGTTCCTTTTGGTTCCTGCTCCTAAAGTGTTTGGTAATAACAATGATTCTAAAGTGCACCAGGGTTGGTACTCCATTTACACTTCTGAAGATCCACGTTCTCCCTTTAATAAGACCAGTGCCAGAAGCCAGGTAACTATTTCTATCTTTTTTTTCTTAAGATATTTATGGTTGATTCTTGAGGAAATTATTATTTGATTCCAATTGATGGGAAGTAATATGTTGTGATATCCCCTTTTCGTAAAGCATGATATAAAGGAATGAAAATGATTCTTGAACACAAAATTGAGATAACAATATCTTCCGTTGATTTTGGAATGTATTTTTCAGATAGGTATATATGAAAACAAAGATTAAAAAAAATACGTGAGAAGAAGAAAATTTTGGATAGGATATATTATATATAGTGTTAATGGTTTAATAAAATAATAAAACTTAATTAAGTGGCATTCAATTGTTGAAATCAAATTAAATATCCTTTTATGTCTCTTTTTTTTTTTCTTTTCCTTCTAATGAAAAAAATAACAAATCAGGAAAAAAATTATTTGATAAATATTCAGAGTTCTTTTTATGATTTATAGTAATTTAATCTAAAAAAAATTATCCTACGAACATAATACAACTAGTTAAATCTCTGATCAGGATCTGAATCAAATTAATCTGATTTACTTTATATTTATATTCTGATTTGAACTTTTTATTAAAAAAAAATTTAAAAATTGACCATATAAAAATAGATATTTGCCTAAAAAAAACACTTTACTATTCAAAGAAATCGAAAATTTTAATGATATACATGTTAATGAGAGAAAGTGATTTTAAGCAACATGGAGATAACATGAGTTTGTTTCAAATGAAATGCCAGAATATTGTTTTTTTAATTCCACATTATAGAGATAATATTAAAGTCAGTCCGGATCACCAATAAATTAATTTTCAGTTCTATAAACTTTACATTTAGGATGTCAGTCTTAACATAGTGATAGTTGTTGAACTTATATAACCTACAAATTAATATTCACTTCTACGTACTTTTCATTCGGGATGTGTAGTCTTAACTATATAAGGAAGTGTGTTAGACAGAGATTTCTTGATGATGATATTTGATATTATGTGCAGGTTTTAAGCGAGGTGAGAAGGTTGGTGGATCTGTATAAGAATGAGGAAATAAGCATAACCATAACCGGTCACAGTCTAGGTGCTGCAATTGCAACCCTTAACGCAGTGGACATTGTCGCAAATGGGTACAACAAGCCAAGTACTGATCCATCTCGCAAGGCCTCTCCAGTCACAGCCATTGTGTTTGCCAGCCCAAGAGTTGGCGACACAAACTTTCAGAAGGTTTTTTCTGGCTTCAAAGATCTCACTACGATACGCATTCGAAACGAGTTAGATATCGTTCCAAACTACCCTCTTGTCGGGTATTCGGATGTGGGTGAGGAGTTGAAGATCGATACCCGAAAATCCACGTTCTTGAAGAGTCCTGGGAATCCCTCTAGTTGGCATAACTTGGAGGCTTACATGCATGGAGTGGCGGGAACACAAGGGAGCAAAGGAGGGTTCAAACTCGAGGTTCATCGCGATATTGCACTCGTTAATAAGTCCTTGGATGCTCTTAAAGATGAGCTCCTTGTACCAGTTTCATGGAGGATCGAAAAGAATAAGGGTATGGTTCAACAAAATGATGGTTCGTGGAAGCTTATGGATCATGAAGAAGATGACTTTTGATCCTTAATTGAGACTTGCAATTGCCGTTTGAAGTTTCACTTTCACATTTGAGGTTGTTGGCCATTGGAGAAAACATTAATTAATTTGATTTGTTTCTTGTATTATATATAACCTTTGTGCAAGACTTAGACGATAATTATTTTGAAAGACTGATTATTTGTTGAATATAATAATGGGCATGGCAGCAGCTGTCAAATGTTATTTGTCGAACTTTGGCAAATGTGATTATTCATTTGTTATTATATATGTCAATTGAATTTATAGGAAAATGTCTCAAGTAGCTTAAGGTGAATTTGGATGATTTGAATTCTTAATTTAATTTAATTTTTTTGGTTAATTTTGGCTCAAGTTTATGTTTCTTCTTAGTTCTCTCGAATCAACGATAACCAATTTTGGCTCAAGTTTATGTTTCTTCTTAGTTTTAAATATTTTTAGTTCTCTCTAAAAATTTGTGCTCCGCAAATAAATCTTTTGATTCCAAAGTGAAGAGGAGGCCGTAGTAGTAACTTTTGTAGTTGATGGAGGGCGGGTAATCCTTTCGATGAAAAAATATACGAAAACGGGAAACAAATAAATAGTAAAATGAACGAGGGTTGTTATATAACTACGAGTATTTTAATACATCCTAAATGTTTATTATATATGAATAAAATTTATAATAATATATTATAAATTATAATAAATATTATAAATTTTAATATATAAATTACATTAATTTAAAATTATATAAATAAATATTTTAATATATAAATTATATTTT